GGAACTACTTCCTTCCGCCACGGATTCAAAGCTCAAGTTGACCGTTAAGCATACTTCACTTTTAGAATTCGTATCAAGGGCATGTGCTGCTTCAGTTAGGTTATTAGTGAGAAATAATGAGGTTATAAGAGATAAACAAGACAAGACGTGCATCCAAATGTGAGAGAGAGAGACCGCGAAGCTAGACATTTCTTCTTATATTAACTAACGTACTCTACGATTAGCTAAGTGAATAATTAAAAAAAAACATAGACCCGGCTAGAACAAGCGGAGTGATACAAAATTGTGAAAGGGCGTTCCTGTAGCGATACCAGTACAATATCTCACGGTTCTCAACCAATCAGATTTGAGAACCAGAACGAACTGTTGTATAACTGTGTTTAAGCTAAACTCATTTAAGCTTTGCCAGTTTAAACATTTAAGAGCCAGAAGACGCGAGCTCGCGCGCTCAGTGAGAAGATTTGTGAGAATATTAAGCTCTGTCTGAAGTATTGTTTAAATGGACAAATTCACACAAAAATTGTCAAAATGCCCGTCTTGATAAGTATCCTATAGCAGACATAGCCGGCTGAACGTACTGTATCAGTGCATTCTCTTAAAGTGACAGCACTTTCTTAATGTTAATCAAACAGCAACAACAAAGAAATCACTCACTGCTCTTGATTGAATAGCTTTTGTAACTTTAATAATGATTAATCTTTAATTATTTTATTTGAATCTTTACTCTATTGTATTTATTTGTGCTGTTGCTTGTAGTTAGATAGATTATTCTTATTTTCTTTATTTTTATTTGACAGTATAGTTTTTGCCTAAACATAGCACATCGAAACCGTGACTCTAAAACCGTGATACAAACCGAACCGTGAGTAAGTTGAACCGTTCCACCCCAGTGACAAGTGGCATGAAGGATTCAGGGATATAGTACACATAAAAACTGCAACCTATAAAAAAAACATTTCATAATATAAAATGAATACTATAATATAAAAAAACATTTCATTTGACACCTGCGGGTTTAATCACAAGGAGTAATTTTGTCCGTTTGGTTCCTGTACCGCACACACCTCTTTTGAGCAGTTGTAGGTCTGTATACAGTACACATGTATGTCACACATTAGCTTCCACTATTTCTTTCCATTTGACCCACGTTGGTTAGCTGATTCTCATCTGGTCGGGAGTTAATAGGACAAAACATGTGGCGAGTACACACCCCTGCTTATCATAACACATCCTCTGCGACCAATTGACGGTAATAGCTTTTGCCTGACCGATGCAGAGGTGATTACTAGCCAGACCCAGGATAAAATCTGCTCAAGTGTAAATGTACACCAGGGAATTATGGGTAATTAGCCATCATAAATCAAGGCCTAGACACCTGCGTTTCCTTTCAGCTGTTCATAATTCGAAGAAGAGATCTTCTGGGTCCCAAATAGGGCTCAGTGATATAGCTGTAGCTAAAAAAAAAACCCTCAATTATATTTTGCAGCTATTTAATATATGAGTATTTCTGTGTATGTATGTGTATAATCAGAGGTTGCTTTAGACTTTAACATTGTCCGTCATTTTGACGGACAGGGTCGTAAAAATTCCGTCATAATCTATGATTAACCGTCATTTTAATTTTCATATTTTATTTATAATAACACATTTAATTGCTTTTATTTTTGTTCACATTTTCATTTTTAATAATGAACCTACAGGACGAGCATATAGGCTTATGCATTTATTTATTTATGATGAGAACATATGAACAAAGACTATGCGTCACTTTTCATGTTTAACACCACACCCCGCAGTGATAGCAGAGGACACTAAAAACAACAAAACAAGCTAGGGCTGGGTAAAAAAAAAAAAAAAAATTTGATTTCTCGATTTTAATAGATTCTCTTTTTTATGAACCAATATCGATTCTTAAATCCCAGTCGATTCTGTTTTCAGTTGATGAATAAACAATAGGCTACATATATTGCGCCTCCCATCCAATAAATTCGCCTTATCCTCGTGCAATGCCAAGTGTGTCATTCTCACCAGTTCTCACAATAAACACCTTTTATACAGACCCAGATTACAGATCTTTCATTAGCCGGCTGTGCATTCTTCAGCATAATTATAGTCGTATTAGGATGAACTATACATTTTTAACACGATTATAAGGCCGTGCGTACATGTGGTTTCAGTTGTTCCTATATTTTTTGTAAATTTAGAATACATTTTATTACGAAACTTTTGGTGAATTGTGATTTGTTCTTAAAATCTCACAAATTTGTGCATATGCATGCTTATTGAATGAGACCCATTGTGATATAAAATTACTTGGTTTATATTGTGAACAGTTAATAAATGCTAGCCCTATTCCCAATCATAAATCTTGCAACTGTATTGCAAGACAATCACAATCATAAATCTCTTGCTTTCAGATACACTTTGTCCCCTCACTCTCATGCATTAGACTCTCATGTCCCACTCTCCCGTCTCAGTGTGAGGTGTGAGAGAGAATGTCTTGCCCCTCCCTCTCCTGTCTGGAGGTTTGAATCGACTCTAGTCTGAGACTGGTCGAAACATTGCGTCATCTTGACAGCAAGAGCAGTGCCGCCCCTCTGCAGTAGTAACACTCCTGTCCTTCCTCTCAGCCATTTTGGGACACGAGTAATAAGCAGTATCTTACCACTTGTCACTTCAGAGGGAGTTGATGTTTTAGGTCATACATATTTAATGCCTTGGATTCATAATGAGAGCGAAAGAAGGATGACATTTCAGTGTTGTATTTCCATGGAGATTGTTCATAACTGCGTGAAGTGAGGTTTTTAGAGCGGCATTTTCAGTGTGCAAACATTAAAGTGAAGGACACAGATGTTTCCAGAGATGTATATAAAAAAATAACAAATGCATTAAAAATATACTTATTACATGTATAGTTTTAACTACTACTACTACAATGTATTAAACATGTTGTCCAATAAGAGTATGGTAGGGTAGCATTATGTATCAATTTTACAGTAGTATAGGAGGCCTCAAAATACTGGCGGTACCACAATATTGTCCAAACGGCAGTACCGTGATGCACACTAGTATATTCTCCTGCTCATGGCTCATATTTAGCATTGGCAGATTTAATTTTTTGGTGCCATTCACATAGAACGTAACAGAGCGCATCAAAAAGAAATGCAACATGGGAATTCAAAGATGAGCTCATTTGACACTAGGGATGTGCGGGTCTAGTCGACTAGTCGACTAAACGGTACAGCTCCTACTAGTCGACACTGAAAACAGTAGTCGATTACACGACAGAAAAAAAAACATGATTTTATCATTCAGATGACCATCATTTTAACATTGCATTTAAAACATTTTAAATAACAAATTAAAATAAACGTTTGAAAAATAATACATTATTTTTAAAAGTTTATCTGTGTGGAAACTACATTTTTACCTCAGACCTCACATGCGTTTTCTTCGTGTCAGTTGCAGCGAGTTCAAAAATGACCATGCGAAAGACGAGAAGGTGTGGGATTATTTTGAATTAGAAGGAAACGGAAAAGTTTTGTGTAAACTGTGTAATGTCAAATTGTCTTACAATAACTCTACTGGAGTAATGCGTAATCTTATTCAATACAGGCACGTAGGCGTTAGCTTAGAAATGGGCATTGTTGCATTTTGTTTTTAGACGATATAGCCTACACAAAGTACGTTTTTAAAAGCCGTTTTAATGCTATTTCTTGATAAACCTTCCTATTGTTTTTGACTTGTGTTTTAATATGTTTAATATGTTTAATATGTAACGTTATATGAAGATTTGAGGCTGATTTGAATAAATAATCTATGCTTTGGCTTACGTTTAGTGTATGCTCTTCTTTTTTTTCTTTTTACCGACCGCCTAAAATGAAATGATGATAACGCGAGGCAAGTGTGCGGCAAGCGGAATTCATTGAGGGATTTGACAGTGTGATTCATAATTAAGTATTTCAAATATAGGCTATAATATATGCTACACGCACGCACAGAGGTTTTTTTTTTCTTACCATCTTTTGGGGGTTTCTTGCTTTTAGACTAGTCGACTAGTCGGATACAAAACTTTTGTTTAAACGACAGTCAAATTAGTCGTCGCGCACATCCCTATTTGACACATCCTATAAAGTAGTGCTGGGCGGTATACCGGTTCTTACCGAATACCGGTGTTTATTTTTGTTATGATATTAATTTTTAAAATACCGCAATATGTCGAGCGAGCGAAGAAGACGTTCAGCTCGTTCAGCAGGGAGATGGTGCTGTCACAGGTGCGTGGTGGGGGCTTGTAGTCCGTAATGGTCTGTATCCCCTGCCACAGGCTCCGAGTGTCTCTGCTGTCACTGAAACGATGGGCTATCCTCCTGGAGTACTGTCTTTTTGCCTCTCTGATGCCGCGGGAAAGGTTGGCCCTAGCTGTCTTCAAGCCCACCTCATCTCCAGCTCTGAAGGCAGCGTTCCGCATCTTCAGGAGTCCGTAGACCTCCCCTGTTAGCCTCCCCTGTTAGCCAAAAAATAGCCGCTCTTTAGTGTAGATGCATGTTGATTTTATCAGACGATGCCGCGATTATAAATGAGAGTGACTCCTGGTTAACATGTATTAAAAGGGGTCGTGTTTAGTCACTATTTACTGTGGTGTTTTTTGACAATATTCACTCATCATGACAGTAAAATAGGGCATTCTAAGTCAATATACTGCAGTATTTCCTCTCTCAATCAGTAGAAAATATGGTTAACACCCGGTCATGCATGAAAAAAAAATACCGTCATGTACCGTGAAACCGGTCTAATTTTGAAAAATACCGTGATATACATTTTTGGTCATACCGCTCAGCACTACTATAAAGCCAGAAAGACTTTTGATGGCAAAAGAAGTGACACATCTCTACATAAGCCAACCATTAAAAGTGCATGTGAAATAAAAAAGCAAAAGCAACTGCACAAGTGCCTCTCATGATAAGTTTGGTGGATTTTAGAGAGGTTTGGGATTTGTAATGCTTATTGAAGACACAATTTTAAAGTAAACATTTTAGCCTTACTGTCTTCATTTTTCTGTGTGAAAGTGAAGCAATAAAAATCTGTTAAAAATAGGGATGCACCGAAATGAAAATTCTGGGCCAAAACTGAAAATTCTGGATGCACTTGGCCAAAACCCAATCCGAAAATGCTCTTTTAATTAAATTAATTTAATGCTTTGTAATTTGTAATTAAACAATACAAAGTAATTTTGTAAGACTTTTTAATTTAACTCCATTTTAATGATACTGAATTTAAAAACCACAACATACTTTTTACTGAAAGTAACACAATAAGATTGGACAGAATTGATATTAATGTTAGTAACACATTACAATAAGTTTCATTAGTTAACATGAACGATAAACAATACTTCTTCAGAATTTATTAATCTTAATGTAAATTTCAACATTTACTAATGCATTATTAATATCAACAGTTAATGCAGTCTGAATTAACATGAACTAACAGTGAACAACTGTATTCTCATTAACTAACATTAGGAAAGATGAATAAATACTGTAATAAATGTATTGTTTATGTTTGTTAATAGGCTACATGAACTAACACCAGTGTTGGGCAGTAACGCATTACTTAGTAACGCATTACCGTAGTTTGATTACTTTTTTAGTAACGGAGTAATTTAACGCGTTATAATTTTCAAAATAGTAATTAGAGTATAGTTACAAGCCGAAGTCTCTATACGTTACTGCCGCGTTAAATTGCTGACAGAATGCAGTGTTTTATAATCTTGAGATTGTAAAAAGGATGTAGCACACGCACTGTCGAGTCAAGTGCCAGTGGATTAGAGACCTGCTCCCGCGAGACCCGATGCAACAGAGTGCGGCGCGGGACAAGATGAGCGCGTGCTGGTGTGGGCAAGTAGACACTCGTGTGTGTGTGCGGGATGCGGGACTCGGGAGAATAAAATGATTCACAGGACTCCCGCAAAATAGAAATATCTAAACATAAAATATCTAAAACAAATAAATTGTTATTCATCTATTGCACGAAAGCAACATGAACTAATATAAAATATAAACGATTAACAGGTGCAAGCATATGCAGTTTCTATTTAGGCTATAACACGTGTTTGCTGTGTTGAGCAATGCAGTGCTGAAATTTGCGTGCTCACGAATCCTCTCATTATAACACACAAATTGTAGACATTATGAAAGATTCATTATGCATATATTTATTGTGCAAAAAGCCATATGTGTTGACTGTGAAACACAGTAGACTTTAATAATATGAAACCAGCGTTGCCATGTTTCAGCACAGTAGTGCTATTGCAGACAGGAACAAATATCCTACAAAGAAATATCCTGTTGGTGCACTATGAGCGGACTTTGCTTTTCCGGTGAGTATGAGCGGTACACGAGCGGAAAGCACATTCATAGATCGGAATATTGAGCGGAGCGTCACACCGCGCAGTGACGAGGAGAGTGAAACCTGCGCGCTGAACACTGCTGGGCAATGCGGCGCGCCATATATATATATATATATTTTTTTTTTTTCGGCTCATTATTTCGTCCAAAAACCGTAAATGCCATTTTCGGCCGATAATTTTCGGTGGCCGAAAATTCGGTGCATCCCTAGTTAAAAATATATATTTTTTAACAATGTTCCAGTGTAGCAATAATAATTTTGTGTCAACTTGAAATTATTAATGCAACAGAAAAGCCTCTGTAGTAAAGACACATCCACACAATAATACTAATACTAATACAATAATACTAATACTACTTGGTCCTAATATTACTTGATATCCTGATACCAAAAAAATATTGTGAGAACTCTACTGTGTTAGTTTTTATACCTGTAATTTTGTTCTTTTCTTTTAAGGTCTCTAATGCATATTTCTTTATGATATACCAGATAGAAATATTACAGTATATTGGTATATAACAGTACTTTTAATATATTCTTAGAATAGGTAGTTTCTCTGTTCACATAATGACAGATCATGTGTATTTCTTTCCAGTTTTCTATAAACTTGTTCAGGACTCTGCCGCCCTCTTCTAACCCCACGGGAGCAGAGTTTGACCCAGAGGAGGACGAACCCACTCTAGAGGCAGCTTGGCCTCACCTGCAGGTGTGTGCCGCTTTATATGATCAACAGTACTATGTCATATTTATCAAAATCTTCAGTGTATACCCTCAGTGAATGTTGCTGGTCGTTCTTGGCATTTTCCCTTTCATATGCCTGTTTGTATTATGTTGTGAAAATTCAAGGCTTTAACTGTTTTGAAGCAATGAAGATACAAAACCATATCACTTTGTTCTACAACCTCCATCAGCACAGGTTGTAAAACTTTGAATTTGGCCAAATTCAAGGTAGCATCATATATGTCCTTTGTGGTGAATCACATGCATTGCACTGAGCTCAGGGGAAAATAAATCCAAATATTCATTATAAAAATATCTTTCAATACTGAAGAATGTATTTTGGAGATCAAAAATAGTTCAATCAAATTCAGATTGGACTTTTCTATATTTGTTGTTAGCTTTAGCACTATGCTAAAATCGTAACTAAAAGTCACTTCTGAGGTTCCCTGCCAGTGATGTTGCAGCGAAGCAGTTCACTAAGTTTTGGAACAACGCGTCTGTCTCAAATGATTATAAAGCCCATTTGTTCAGGAACTGACAGCATTTATTGTTTTGGTGGCAAAGAGGACCAGACAGTTACATTAATCATGTATTAGTATTGAGTTTTATTACTATCTCTCCTTCTCACCTCCTCTTTCTCCTTTCCTCAGCTGGTGTATGAATTCTTCTTAAGATTCCTGGAGTCACCTGACTTCCAGCCAAACATTGCCAAAAAATACATCGACCAAAAGTTTGTAATGTCGGTGAGTGTCTTTTCTTCTGACCTATAGCTGCATCACAGTTTGTCCTCACCGGCACACTATCAGAGGAAGATACACACTCCCTCTGCTGTGAGTGTCAGAGAGGCCAGCTGCTCTTACAGGTTTTACAAGCGTGTAGCAGTGCAGAGATCAGCACTTGCCTGTGTAGAATACTAAGTCAAGTTTAAAGCAAGGGTATAATCACCATGCCAGCATCACGTGGATCAGTTTTTTTTCCCCCCCATGGACTGATGATGACACTGATATCTAGAGAGCAGGATTCTAGAAGCATTCTAATAGTACAACTCATTAGGTATGTTTACATGCAGTTAGTTTTAGAATGAATCCAATCCAGTTTCAGATTATTAAATTTCTATTTATATGAGCCCTTAACATTGCAATCCGATTCACACATTTGTTTACATATGCATTAAACGTGTTCTGAAATCTTCAGTACCCAGTTGCTGCATTCAGAACCGGAGAAGGCCACTTTGATAATGTCACCGGAGCTAACTTGAGTACAGTTATTGTTTTTGCCAATTAATGTGTCTTTACTGATCGGATAGCTATCTGATGTGTTAAAATGCTTCCATTTACATTTGGCCACATGAATGTCTCCTCCAAATCAAGTGTATATCTGATCTTCAGTTCTTGCATTATATGCAAATTTAACTGAGTTCACATCAATGAAAGCAAAAGATATGAGCTGCATTTTATCATCAGCTAAGCGCAAGAGCAAAGACCACAATAGGTGTGAGCAAAACGAATACCCTCTGAAAAAGAAACCATTTTTTTCACGATGGTCTTTTCACGATTGGAAAGCTATCTGATCAGCAAAAAGAAAACGTGTGAAGTGACCAGGCCCTAAAAAGAGGTTTTTAGTAAATATTTAGTCTCATCTACTGACAAGTTCATAAGACATGAGACATCAGTAAACATACACATGCTCTTTATGACGTAAAACTTGCATAAAAAACATGCATCATGGCATTGCTCATGTGGGCAAGGTATTTTTGAAACCGTCTGAGAAAATGGTTAGAGTTTACATGCTTAATGTTTTCTGATTATTTCGGTTCAACACCACCCTTTTTAATCTAAACAAAATTTCGTTCAGCTCGAGCTCAGTCAGACCGATTGAAAGTTGTGATTGGCCGAATGCCTCAAGTGTGTGACGGAAATGTTACGCCCCTTAGCATACTGTGATGCCGACAAAAACATTAAAACCCATTATAAATGAGGCATTCGTTACATCCAGTGGGGATATAATTATGGATTATAATGACTTATACTGCTTTGGATTTGAGACTTTAGTCTTTGCAAATGTAAAGATCTTCTTTATGCACCAAGAGCTTGTAACACTCCAAAGAGAAAGGAAAACTTGAAATCGCATCATATGACCCCTTTAAGGCTTTCAGTCCGATTGAGCCATCTATCAGATTAGTAACAAATAATTTGGATGCATGTAAACACATGACTTCAGGTCATTTTATTCCTTTTCAGCTTCTGGATCTTTTCGACAGTGAAGACCCCCGAGAGCGGGACTTCCTGAAAACCATCCTGCATCGCATCTACGGAAAGTTCCTCGGGCTGAGAGCCTACGTTCGCCGGCAGATCAACAATATATTCTACAGGCAAGAGCTCCGTCGAACTAATCCACCTCTGCTTTTTGCTCTAAAAATGTTCTCATTCATAAACTCTGTTGTAATGGTAGACTGTGAGCTCTTAGAAGCAAGTCTGTCTTTGAATCAGCCGAGTTTGGCATTCGTGAGAAAAGGTGAGACGGGTAGCTCCTCCAGAAGTCATCCATTGAGTCGATGTCCTTGATCTCACACTGCAGGTTTATATACGAGACGGAGCATCACAATGGGATTGCGGAGCTCTTAGAAATCTTAGGAAGGTGAGTGTGACCACTATCAGTGTTGCCATGACAAACCTGAGAGGAGGTCTTTCTCTTATTGCTGAACTGAAAGAACCTGTCTGTCACATGACTGGTCTCTCGTTCTTCCCACAGCATAATTAATGGCTTTGCCCTGCCACTGAAAGAGGAGCACAAAATGTTCCTCATCAGAGTGCTACTGCCTTTACACAAAGTCAAGTCTCTCAGCGTCTATCACCCACAGGTACGCTTAAGGAGAACACTCTTTTGTTGAGGACTTTAATGTAGAAATGCTTTTTGCAGGGGTTTGTGATTATGAGCTGTGGAAGCCACAGTATTCTCAGAACATTCAGTAATTGCATTAAACCACAGATAGTTCTGAAATGTAATTGCCTTGAGTGGGGTTCCAAAAGAGCTAATCATTGAGTGCAACACCACTGGGACGTTTCACTGTTATTATCGTTCCGCTTGTCTATTTAGCTTCTTTTGGGGCTGTTTTTGTGGGAGAAAAATATACAAACTCACAATTATGCTGAATATTAGCATGACTGCGGCTGAAGAGAACTTATGCTTTTGTGATCAAAATACAACTTTATTTTCTCGCATTTATTAAAAAAAAAAATCGGAACCAAAAATTTGAGCTTCTCTCTTTTTAAAGCTACAGCATATTAGAGACCTTTTTGGCTCTTCTGGAATGGTTATTCCAGATTTTATTTGATTTGAGGTAATATGTTCTATCATTTCTCTCTTCATGTTTTAAAGTGTCAGAACAAGCACAAGTAAAGTTTTACAGCATTAGCAGTGGTAACTAGTTATGGCTCAGTTTCAGACCATGAAGATCCACTTTTTTTCTAACAAGCGCTTTCACATTTTCTCATTGACAGTGATATTTCAAAGTGGTCAAAACGCCCATGAAGTTTGCATAACTGCATTAGAAAGAATACATTTTTGCTGGCATATCGCCCACCCCTTCCTCTGTATCCATACTCTGTACTTTATGATTAAGTCTTATAGGTTATGACGTTACGCACAATGTATTAATAGACTGAAGAATAGCAGTGGCTCAATGTTAGTCATCATATTGTGTTCTTTGTAATTTAAAGTAATTTCCTGTGCTTTCAGCTGGCCTACTGTGTGGTGCAGTTTTTGGAAAAGGACAGCAGCCTCACTGAACCTGTAAGATTTACAGCCTTGGCACAACTGCACCTTTGCTGTTTCCTGTCACTATTAATAACATTTTCTTTCAAGCTTTTGTGTTTGAATTCTCTTTTCATGGTAAACTTGAGAGAGCGAAGATGGCTTTCTCACAGCTTTTTTTCGCCTTCTGCATCAGGTGATTATGGGCCTGCTGAAGTTCTGGCCCAAGACCCACAGTCCTAAGGAGGTGATGTTTCTGAATGAGCTGGAGGAAATCTTGGATGTCATTGAGCCCTCAGAATTTGTTAAAGTCATGGAGCCTCTCTTTAGGCAGCTGGCCAAGTGTGTATCAAGTCCGCACTTCCAGGTATTACAACACAATAGTACTTTTCAAACTCCTTGAACATTGAGAGACTTATCTTACCGTTAACAGATTAAAAGGCAAGCTTTTTAATACTAGCATATGCATTCGTGTAGGGCTGGGCGATTCTCAAAAGCCGCAAATCGATCTTTTCCGGTATTTATTTCAGCAGACATTAAAAACAAGATCGGATTAAAGTGAATCTTATCATTAGTGTTCTCCACTAGATGTCACCCTCTTATTTACCTTGCGCAATGTTACAACAGAAAGCCTGCCATTCATTCAGTGCTTATCATGGCGGAGATACTGTTGACAAGAACCAAGAACAAAGCATGCGTGATTTGCAATGCTCAGGTAAAATTCTATACTAATACTACAAATCTGTGGAAGCATTCGACATCACGCGTAAAGGCGCCATGATTTCCGAAATCGATCTTTTCCGGTATTTATTTCAGCAAACTTTTAAAACAAGATCTGATTAATGTGAATCTTATCATTAGTCTTCTCCACTAGATGTCACCCTTACGCAGTGTTACAACGGAAAACCTGTCATTCATTCAGTGCTTATGATGGCGGAGATACTGTTGACAAGAACCAAGAACAAAGCAACATGTGTGATTTGCAATGCTCAGGTAAAATTCTATAGTATTACTACAAATCTGTGGAAGCATTTGACATCACACGTAGAGGCGCCATGATTTCCGCAATGAATGAATGAATGAATGGCGGATGGTGTGACGCACTGTTTTGTTTACTACACACTTACTAAAGTGCGGAAGACGCTCGCGGTGTTTTCAGCCTCTGTCGTCTCACTATTATGATATGAATACACTAATATCATCCCCAGCTGCTCTGAGAGTCACTTTGTTTGCATTTTACCGTTTAATAATAAATCTTTATTTTTAAAGGAATAATCACATTTGTTTTCTTTTTCATTTTAAAAGTAAACCTTAAAAGTTGTGCAGCACTTGGTTTGCCAAAAAATAAAAGGGTTTTTCATTTGATTAGGATAAATTAAACTAATGTTTTATGCCTTCATGTGATTACCAGAAAAATTAAGAAGAGAATAACATTTTATATGGACCTATTATTGTTTAAAAAAGGACACTATACAAAAAAGAATAGGTTTAAAATACAGGCCTGTGGCTCTTATTTCTTTTTATAAACTGATGTTTACTGTTCATTTTTTAGAAATATCAATAGCATTTGTATTAAAACTATATTCACTGAATGTAATAAAAAGATAATAATCGAGAATCGAATCGAATCGAATCGAGAGCTTGCGATTTGAAATCGAATTGAATCGGGACATCTGAATCGATACCCAGCCCTACATTCGTAACAATGAAGTCAAAATTTTACATACATCTTGCAGAATCTGCTAAATGTTCATTATTTTACCAAAATAAGAGGGATCTTACAAAATGCATGTTATTGTTTATTTAGTACTGACCTGAATAAGATATTTCACATAAAAGATGCTTACATATAGTGCATAAGAGAAAATAATAGTTGAATTTATAAAAATTCCGTTCAAAAGATTCTTAATACTGTGTTCTTACCTGAATGATCCACAGCTGTGTGTTTTGTTTAGTGATAGTTGTTCATGAGTCCCTTGTTTGTCCTGAACAGTTTAAACTGCCTGCTGTTCTTCAGAAAAATCCTTCAGGTGCCACAAATTCTTTGGTTTTTCAGCTTTTTTGTGTATTTGAATCCTTTCCAACAATGACTCTATGATTTTGAGATCCATCTTTTCACACCGAGGACAAAAAAAAACTTTTGAACAGAATGGAGATGTGTACATTTTTCTTATTTTGCCTAAATATCTGCACTATATATGATACGATACTAACTTTTGACTTCAACTGAATTTAATGGTCATGTGTGTTCTAGGTTGCTGAAAGAGCATTGTATTACTGGAACAATGAGTACATTATGAGCCTGATCAGTGACAATGCCGCCAAGATCCTCCCCATCATGTTTCCCGCTCTCTACAAGAACTCCAAGAGCCACTGGAACAAGTACAGCCACACTTGTTAATCAAACTTCACTTCTGGAACTGTCACAGCCTGAGTTTCCATTAAGACAGATCATATTCAAATCACCAGAAGAGAAAAGGATTTTGTTCAAATGTCTGGACTAATAGAGCTGTGTTTCGTCCTGCAGGACAATCCATGGGCTTATCTACAATGCTCTGAAGCTATTTATGGAGATGAACCAGAAGCTGTTTGATGACTGCGATGTGTACATTTTTCTTATTTTGCCTAAATATCTGCACTATATATGATACGATACTAACTTTTGACTTCAACTGAATTTAATGGTCATGTGTGTTCTAGGTTGCTGAAAGAGCATTGTATTACTGGAACAATGAGTACATTATGAGCCTGATCAGTGACAATGCCGCCAAGATCCTCCCCATCATGTTTCCCGCTCTCTACAAGAACTCCAAGAGCCACTGGAACAAGTACAGCCACACTTGTTAATCAAACTTCACTTCTGGAACTGTCACAGCCTGAGTTTCCATTAAGACAGATCATATTCAAATCACCAGAAGAGAAAAGGATTTTGTTCAAATGTCTGGACTAATAGAGCTGTGTTTCGTCCTGCAGGACAATCCATGGGCTTATCTACAATGCTCTGAAGCTATTTATGGAGATGAACCAGAAGCTGTTTGATGACTGCACTCAGCAGTACAAGGCTGAGAAGCAGAAGTAAGTGAATGAGGGGTAACAGCGAGAATATGGGGGAGGGCGAAGGAGAAAATGTAATAAATAAATAAATTTGTCATTTATTTCGCATCGAGATAATGTCTAAATAAGCAGCTGTCTTTGTTTTGGTCAAATTTCTATAAACATTTTCTAAGCAAGTTGTGGAAAATCATATGTATCCACATATACATATGAGTGGTTTTCTCAGATGTATCCTAAACTCTTTGTTGTTTTACTGTTCTTCTCAGAGAGAAGTACAAACTAAAGGAGCGGGAAGAAATGTGGCATAAAATTGAGGCGCTAGCAAAACAGAACCCTCAGGTAAACATCCTCCCACTAGCAATCAAAAGTTCAAAATTTTATTTTTTTTATTTTTAAATGATACTTTTATTCGATTGAATAAATCAAAGTGAAAGTAAAGACTTTGTAATGTTACAGAGTTTCACTGTTTCAAGCAAATGCTGTTATTTTGAACTTTCTATTCATCAAATGAAAACTACCGTTTTCATAAAAATATATTGTTTTCTGAATTGATAATGTTACTTTAGCATATTATAATAATTTCTGAAGGATTATGTGATACTGAAAACTGGAGTGATGCATCACAGGAATAAATTCCATTTTAAAATATATTCAAATAAAAAAAA